CAGTGACCGCCACCCCCGCAGGGCCCCTCAGGGTCTCCGACTGGGTCGTCTTGAACTGCTCCTTCAGCCGCCCCGGCCGCCCGGCCTCTGTGCGCTGGTTCCGGGGCCTGGGCCGAGTTCCGGTCCCCGAGTCCCCTCACCACCACTTCGCGGAAAGCAGCTTCTTCCTGCCCCGAGTCGGCCCCCTGGACTCCGGGCCCTGGGGCTGCACCCTGGCCTACAGCGATGGCTTCAACGTCTCCGCCACCTACAACCTCACTGTCTGGGGTAACTCCTCCAGGCAGCCTCACGCTCGGCCACCACCCCTTCCCGCCCGCTGTCGCCTGCCCTGACTTGTGGGTCCTCGTTCCAGGCTCTGGGCGGCTCGTGCCACACGTCACTGCTCTGGGCTTCCAGCCGCCCCGGCCCGCCGGCTCTTCCCTCGGCCTCGCGGCCCGCCGACGGCCCGGGGAGGGACGGGGTCTCTCGCGGGCCCTGCCCACTCCCTGGGTTCTGCGCTCGCTCAGTTCACCCGCCGGGCTCTGCTCCTTGGCACCAGACCCTCTCCCCCCTCTCCTCCACCCCCAGGATCTCCCCCCAGGCTTTACCTTCGGGGGTCTTTTTCTCTCCAGGGCTGGAGCCCCCTGTCCCCACGACCGTGTACGCCGGAGCAGGGTCCGGAGTGGGGCTGCCCTGCCACCTGCCTCCCGGCGTGGGCACCCCGTCTCCCCTCACCGCCAAGTGGGCACCCCCTGAGGGAGGCCCTGACCTCCTGGTCGCGGGACACGATGGCAACTTTTCCCTCCAACTGGCGTCTGTGAGCCGGGCGCAGGCTGGGACCTACACTTGCCACGTCGACCTTCAGGGCCAGCAGCTCCGGGCCGCCGTCACTTTGGCAGTCATCACAGGTCAGCCCGGGTGACAGTGTAGCTCCCGTCCCGGGGACCACGGACCAGGAGGGAAGGCTGGCCGGGCAGAGACTGGGCAAATCCGCCCCTGATGCCGGGCCACTGGGCACAAGTTCCAGAGCCTGCCGTTGCGGCCTCCACTTTTCTCGCCCCCATTGCAAAGAACTGAAACTGAAAACCTCCTCTTGAGTCACAAGATAAACGTTCCGCTGTTCTTCGCGGGACTCCCCTGCTCTGAGTTGGCGGGAGGGTCTGGGAAGTTAGAAGGGAAGGTAGCAAAAGTGCGAATGGTTCGAATAAGTGGGAGATGTTTCTAGAATCCCTTGTCCTCTTTGGGGCCAGGGCTTGGTGAGAGTTGTCAGAAACGGCCTGGATTTGGGAGAGGTTAATGAATCAGTCCCTTGGTCGGCACATATTTACTGAGCAAGGGTTTTCCAAGACAGCATAAAACAATCACAGAAAAAAGAACTCTCAGAAAGTCTGTTGACTGGTTGGTCACTGGCAGTCGTGACAGATTAGCCGTGTCTGCCGTACTCACCTGTGGCCACTAAGTAGTAGCACCATATGGTCGGCACTCGGTAACGTATATTGGTCGAATGACCAAATGAATGTGCTAACAGATAATGCATCTGCTGAGGGCCAGCCCTGAGTTTCTACCTGCTTCCTGGATCGCTCTACCCAGATATCATGCCACCTCTCAACCTCACCCCGAACCCCATCTTCTCCTCTCACCAATTTCTTGCTTACTTCACCGGTAAGGGGTAGCCATCCACTTGGAAACCTGGCCACCTCCTCTTTACACCTGGCAGTCACCAGAGCCCACCAGTTCTTTCTATCCAGTGTCATACTCCTCCTCCTCTTCCTTCGACAGGGTCTCACTCTGGAGTGCAGTGGCATGATCCTGGCTCACCACAGCCTCTACCTCCTGGGTTCAGGTGATCCTTCCACTTCAACCTCTTGAGTAGCTGGGACCACAGGCATGTGCCACCATGCCTGGCTATTTTTTTTTTTACTCGAAATCACACTCTGTCACCCACCCCACACTCACGGCCACCCCAATGTTAACCTGCTGGGTGCTGGGGATCCTTCCACCTCAGCCTTCCAAGTAGCTGGAACTACAGGCGTGTGCTACCACGCCCGGCTAATTTTTTATTTATCGTAGAGATGAGGTTTCGGCAAGTTACCTGGGCTGGTCTCAAACCCGCAGTCTCAGGCAATCCACTCGCCTCGGCCTCCCAAAGTGCTGGGATGACAAGCTGAGCCACTGAACCCGGCCTGCTAATTTTTTTAGAGTCAAGCTCTTGCTATTTTGCTCAGGCTGGGCTCAAACTCCTGCCTCGAGATTATTCTGCCTCGGTCTCCCAAAGTGCTGGGATCACAAGACCGAGCCCCTGCGCCCGACCCTGTCCAGTGTCTTCTTGAGGGTCAACTGTTCTGTGTATGACAACTCACTGGGAGAGGTCCTCGTCCCCATTTTGGAAAGAAGATTTCCTCAAAGTCACACAGCTGGGAAGTGCCAGACTCAGGGTCTAAACTCAGGTGTTTGTGTCACCAGATCTTCGTTCTCTAGGACACTACTCTTACATCAAAGCCCTTCATCCTTTGCCTCTCTCTCCAGAACTTTAAGAGTGCTCTCTCTCCAGATCAGGGTTTCAGCTCACTGCTCTCCATACATTCAGAAATGGGGGGAAGTTCGTAAAGCAAGGGGCACTGACATGAGCTCCGTCATGGAAGCAGGAACATCCTAAGGTCGAATTTAACTGGGATGAGGGGTTCTGGGCACTTGAGTAGAAGTAACATAAAATAACCTGAAGTGACATTCCTGATGTGGTCCTTCAGGGCCAGGGTGAGCGTAAGCAGTGTCCTGAAGGCAGCAGGGCGTCTGGAAAGTGTTTGAGTAGGGGAGGGAGCCGGCCAGTGTGTTGTCCAGATAAGATTAATGTGGTTGTGACCCCCGATCCCCACCCCAACCTCACCCAATCAGAATCTACTCGAGACCTGCCTGGGCAACTTGGCGAGACCTCATCTCTACAATAAATCAAAAAATCAG